TGAAAGATTTTTGAAGGAATTCTGTATCAGGTAGATGATTTTGTTTGCCTTTTTGGTCATCCTTATTCCTTGCAATGTGTGTTTCCCATTTTAAATTAGAAGTGAAAGTGATTCTCGAATCTACCTGTTTAGTTACTGGTGTTATTTCTGTTTGCTCAAAAAAGTGGTTATGTTTTGGGTTATTTTGACCAATATGCAAGACTGATGTACATTTGGAATCGTTTAAGGGCCTCATGTTGATTTCATGTCTTGATATATTATAACTTATGTATTTGGTATTTGATGTGGGTTATAGGACTTGGCAAGAGAAAGCAATATTCACTTGGTGACGGTTTCGTAATTTAATTTTGCGAACCTCGTAGAGAACCAGTTCTTATAAGCCATAGCCTCATGAAGAACTAGTTAGATATTTGAAAAAGCATATCTACGAAATGTCACCAAGTGAATATTGAGTTTTCTTGCAAAGTCCTACAACCCATATCAAATCCGTAAATCAACTACAATAATAGCAATGTAAAATTGTGTAATTATTATCATTTTCAATTAAACTTTTCAAAAGTCTACATGGACTGCACATCCCTATAAAATCTAATCGGAAGCTGCGAAAATACCTGTCAGCAACATCGGTTTAAAAACCTCATAACCGCCTATGTAAGGTTTTTACGGAGCGAATCTGACAAGCAATAGCAAACAGATAAATCATATCTAAAAGCCCTTATGGTGCTTTTCAAAGCACTCTGTTTGCGGCCTGGCTCGTAAAATGGGAAACAGCTCTTGTGAGAAATGTTCAGAAAAGAGAAACGCGATTTTAATGTTTAAACTCTTTTACTTTTTTTTAATAATTCAAGTTTTCCTGTAATTTTGAAAATTTTAAACATCAACAGTTTCAAAAGATGAAAAATAAATAAACAGGTAAATCATGCCGAGTACAAAACGAAGGGATAGAAGTATAAACCCTCCCCAAACGGGATAAATGTATTTAAAGTGGTTTGGATATCACTCCTTCACAAAAGGACCTGCATTTGTTTGGGGCGTATTGTTCGTTATAATTGATGGAAACATCGCGCTCAACATTTCATGATAAATTATTTTGTTTTGTGTTGGATTAAGTAGAGCTTTTAAATTGACGGGACAAAAATTGTCCTGTAATTAGGTATCTTCTGTCTCCTTTTTGTTTTTGAATTTCAATTATTGTTGTTATTTCCACAGTGAATGTACAACATTGAAAATGTTCTGTGAATGCAGAATTCGTCGGTAATTATGGCGTATACTTCTCAACCCTCCACTTATGAAGTATCCTCGGGGATTATTTCTTCGATGTAAACTCAATCACTGTCCTTGTCCCAATCATCGTTTATAGTTCTTCTATCGAAAGTCGGTTAAATTTGGGTGCGCCATCGACAAACAAATTTAGTCATGGATCTATCTGTTTTTGAGCATCCCTGTAACATGGGAAATTTCTTTTCCTGCGAACACAGCATGACGCCCTTTTCGTTGCCACCGGTACCTATTATAAGATTCCCACACTACTCAAAATCGCGCGCGATGCTGAACAGGCCCCATTAACGCTCTTTTGTGTTATGGTTATTTAAAGGCTCCGAGGGGATGATGATGGTTAACTAGAATAAAATTTCCGTTTATAGAGTTTGGCATAAAATTCCATTTTTTCAGGTAAGAGTTTGAAATACTCCATTTAACCCTAGTAAGAAAAAAAATGTGATAACATTTTATGCTGCAATAAAATTGAGCTAGGGCTTACTTGTCTGTGTTTGTTAATTTTTGCTGAAAAGAAACCGGGTTTCGATGAACATATTGGTATAAGTTATTTGTTGTCTTTCACTAATGAGCAGCACGTCGTCGTTGGAACGGAAAGGTGAAGCTTTGGAATTTTTTTTAGTACATTTGGCAATCATTACACAATCCTTTCCACCTCTATGATAATTGAAGTAGAAGAAACCCTCTGGAATGAATAATAAACTCAAATTCTATACAGAACACATATTACTCGACAGACGAGTAGACGACATACAGTGTCATCTTAAAAATTTTCAATGCGAATATCTCTGAAAGTAAAAAAGTTGAAAAAACGTAACTTTGGTACAAATGTTATGTAGATAGGGGGAACTAGAACCACCATATTTTGGTTACGGGGTGAGTGACCCCTTGGACTCCATGCACTCCAACCTCAATTTTTTAAATGGCATCACCCCTTTTGTGATAGGTACCTACCTAAAATTGAATATTTTTAAGTATAGTCAGTATAGTGTTCCCTGCACAAGAATTTTTCCAAAAAATATTAAATTTTAGGTATCACAAGAGGGGTTTGGTGCCATTTGAAATATTAGGGTTGGGGTGCATGGGGCTCCCAAGGGGTTATTATAACCAAAATATGGTGGTTCTAATTCATTCTACATGTATAACATTGTACCAAATCAAGTTTTTCTAAATTTTTTACTTTCAGAGATATTCGCATTCAAACTTTCCCACCTTGTATATAACGTACATGTTATGTGTATAGTCTATCTATATGGATTCCCTAATATGGTATAAAGGTGTCTCAAAAAGGTTTCCAGCTTCAGAATCAATGATCGAGAGGTTGCATGAGATTAGGTTCACTACATTGGTTACTGTTTTGATTATCAAGTTTGTAAGTTTCGGACATTTGGAATAAACGAAATATAGTTTCAAAGATTTATTTCAAGCTAAACTCATAGAATAATGTTTAAGTAGGGATATAGAATGGTAACTCCCATGTTAAAAAAAAAGTTTATATATGTGGCGCCTCTATAGGCTTGGGTCAAAGTAAAATGATTTTGGCGGGATATTTGAATTTGAAACTTTCTTTATGGATGCCCTTTTTAGGCCTTTATTGATCAAATTTAACATTAATTATTATATTTATCCCTCATTATAAGAAATAAATATAATATGTAATAACCAAGACTGATCTATCAACGCCAGAAACGTTTTTTGGTAAGATAGAAAAATAAAACTCGTGTCTGTCAATCGTTGGACTTATTAGTTATTTAAGTATTAAGGGCGGTAAGTGTCGTTTACCGCCCGAGATTGTTTGAAGACCGACGCGTAGCGGAGGTCTTCAATATTCGAGGGCGGTTAACGACACTTAACGCCCAAAATACTTATTACGTTTTATGCACGATCGGGCTATTCCAGTTCAAAAACTTAATTTATAGAATGGCATCCAATTGACATTTTCAAAAATAGAATTGTCTTCCTCCTATAAAGGCGCGTTCCCAATGAAAAATTGGCAACTTTTGTATTTGCAACGCTTCCAAAAATCACAACTCTTATTTCCATGGTTATCCACCACCGCACATTATCTATAACAATTATTATTATTATTATAGTTGGCTGGACTACTTGTTTCTAATGGTTGGTATGGTTGTTATGGTGCTTCTCAAATTGTTTATTTGTGTTAGTTACGCAAAACTCGCTTTCAAACAATACGGTTGCAAGCTGCAAATACGCTTTTTTGAAATTTAAGGAGAAATATGAGTGAAAATAGTGATAGTGAACTGGAAAATGCTTGGAATATTGGTTGTGACGCTGTGATTCCGGAAAAATCAAGGCAACGGTACGAAAAAACCTTTGAAATCTTTAAGAAGTGGTGCGTTGACAAAAACTGGGCTGTTTCGGAGAAAGTGCTTTTGGCATACTTTGTACACCGAAATCAGAAGTTAAAATCACCTGGAAGCTTATGGGCTGAGTATTCCATGCTGAAGGCGACACTTTTTCTGAAGGAAAATGTTGACATTTCGAAATACGCAACTTTAATTGCCTTTCTGAAAAGAAAAAACGTTGGCCATACACCGAAAAAATCTAAAGTTTTCACAAAGGAGGATTTATACAGGTTTCTAGTGGAGGCACCAGATGATAGATACTTGATTTTGAAAGTGAGTTAATTTACCTGTGTTTTTAACAATGCAAAGAATTAATTTGTTGTTTTTTCGTAGATAGGCATGATATTTGGTGTAGCTGGAGCATGCAGAAGGGAGGAATTATGTAATTTGACTTTACAAGACATAGATAATCAGGAAACGTTCATTTTTGTTAAAATACCCAATAAAAAAACCAATATTCAAAGGAGTTTCACCATCACTGGTAAAGAAGACCAGCGAGTGGATTATTTGGAGATTTGTAGGAAATATATCGAACTACGACAAAAAACCGCAAAATCAAACAAGTTATTCTTAAAAATTCGAAACGGCTTTAGCACTAATCAAGTTGTAGGAAAGAATACCATAGGAAAATGGCCAGCACAAATTGCCACATTTTTAAATTTGCAAAATCCTTCTCAATACACTGGACATGCTTTTCGCAGAACTTCTGCGACGCTTCTTGCAAATAGCGGCGTAGAAGTATTAGCTCTCAAAAGACATGGAGGTTGGAAATCCTCGACGGTTGCCGAGAGTTATATCGAGGACTCCATAGAGAGCAAATTGAAATTCGCAGACCAAATTTTACACCAAACTCCTTCAACAAGTGGTAAGACTTCGATCCAAACAACATCCAGACAACTAAACGATGAACCTCATCCTGTTTCTCTGATAAATGATACAGAAAATACGGTTGTTCTTGTTAAGCACATAAGAAAAGGAGGTGTTGTGATAGATAATTCACATAACTGTATATTTAATTTGTATGTTAACAAAAAATAATAATATTTAAATTCTATTAATATTAAACCTATGTACTATAGTTGTTGAGGTGCATAATAAATTATAATTCTTGTTTTATTTCTATTTCCATAGTTGACAACACGGATTAAATTGAACTAGTGGCCTCCACCAATATTCGAGAGTGTTTGATGACACGAAAATAGCGGGCGGTAAGTTCAGTCTAGTACTTACCGCCCGCTCGTGCATAAAATATTTTTATTCAGGTACATATATAAATTATTATAATTGAACTTTTTCTGTTTGTCTTCACATCAATTTCATCACCAATGGGATTGACGCCATGATAAAGATAAAACTTACCTGAACTAAAACTGGGTAGAAGTAAAAACACTACAACTAATGAAAATGATTCATAAAGAATTTGACAAACTAAAAATTGTTTGACAACCAACCGACCAGTATGACAAGCTGATAGCGTCAACATCCAAAGGCGTTCACTAAAATCGATTACCAGCGATGAACATGCGCGCCCCCTGAGCGGCTTGGGGCACATTAAAAGTGGCCAGGATCGTTCAATATAAGTGCGCGTACCATGGCTAAACCTCAGAGGAATAAAAAATAATAGAGTGAGCATACTAATCATAAATCCCTCATTGTTTGTATGCCATTGACAGCGCCCATTCTAAGCCGAAATTTCCCTAAATTTAGAGAAAAATGTATTTTTTCTAAAGGATTTCAACGCTGCTTTGTTAGAAAGCTTTCCACCTGCTTTACCCCACCTGAGTGATCATAGGCGTGCGGAAGGAAGGTTAAATGGTGAAAATATTTCTATTTAGTGACAAAAATTAAGCAAATTTAAAAAAAAAATGTTCTGCTTCATTAGCAGTAACATGAAAACAAAACAGATTCTGGAGAACTTTTGATCGATAAATGTTTTTGATACAGATCTTAGGAATTAGGTTTGCTATCTAAAATGAAATAAATACAGCAGTGTTAGATCTATCAAATTCATGTTACATTACAAAATAATACAAAAAAAGGAGTCCTTACGTCTGGTTCTGAGACTACATTCTTCAATATTTGTTCCTCAGTTTCTCAAACTATTGAGGTAGTTGAGGACGACTGAGAGAGCACTGTCAGGCATTTGAAAGTACTCGGGCATGGGCGCCGGCAGCAGGGTGCAAGAGGGTGCACTTGCACCCCCTGTCAGAAATTCATTGAAAACAATATTTTTCCTACAGCCGTGCGGAAAAATCGATTTTCCGCACTGATATGCGTGCGGAAAATTAGTTTTTCCGCACGGTGCGGTAAAACTTTTACCGCACGCATATCAGTGCGGAATAGTTATTTACCTAACAAGTGCGGAAAGTGGTCCTTTACCGCACGCGACGGCAGTTGCACGAACGACGCGAAGCGGAGTTCGGGCAAGCTGTCGAGTGCGGTAAAGTCACTTTTCGCACGTGTTAGGTCCAAAATTTTTCCTTCGGAGCACATAATTTTTGGAATTAAAATCTAATTGGAAGAAAAAATGCATAAAAAATAGCAAACATTGATTGTTAAAAACAAAATATGTTTCTATTTCATGTATTACGGCCATTACGCGAAGGCAAATGCATTAATTGCATGTTTTTTTAAAATTTTTGTTACAGTGCGGTAAAGGATTTTTATTTTTAACCATATATGAAATGTTGTCATTACTGACTTTTCAAAAATTTGAAAATGTCACATTTCTGTCTTTGCATTTTCCTGCTCCATTACCTGTCCCAGGACGGGAAGTGAGGACGGGAAATTTTTTCCGTCCTCATTTCCCGTCCACGGACGGAAAATGGAGCAGGGAAATATTTCCCGTTCTCATTTTCTTCTTCATTTGCCGACCTCATTTGGTTGCCCCGAATTTTTTTTTTCAAGAAATTATGGTTAAAAATAAAATAGTATACAACCCTCGACGGGAAACTTCATTGCTGTCTCGAGGTTCAGTTTATCTCGACGCTACACGTCTCGATAAACTATAAAACCTCTCGACCAGTAATAAAGCATTTCCCGTCTCGGATTGTAATATACTATATTATATATATACTATATAAAGAATCTTTACCGCACTCAAAATTTTTATGACAAGAATTTGGTTAAAAGTCTGTCTTGGTGGCATTTGTCAAATCTGCTACGTTGCATTTTGTTTTTCCCATAGCAACAAATCAATATTATAATTTGCGTCTATAGATACCACATGGAAAGTTCAAATAGGTTCGTGTTTTGTGGTTCAAATTTTCCATTTTTCGGTATAACATAAATTCTTGAGAGATGGAGACCTTCGATGAAGAAATATTCGAAGCAGCGAATGCAGCAGTCGGCTCTTTGATTCCACAAAAATCCCAGGACCGGCACAATAAAGAATATGAACAATTGAACAATGGAACTTTCTCATTTTACCTGTGCTGCGCGCGCCGCTTGTGGGTGACAACACAGAACATATCACCTCTAGAAAAGTATCTGCCATGTTACCTACCGGTTATGAATTAGAGCACCATCGTTGACTGAAAACCCAACGAATCGAGCATTCTTGACAAAAAGGCGAATCGATTTTTTTGAATTAGTTTTTAAATAATTTTTCATTCTCCTGCCTACAAAAATACATTTTTCTACGAGCGTGCGGGAAATGGCTCTTCCCGCACGATTTGTTGTGCGGGAAGACTTCCTTCCCGCACCGGTGCGGGAAGAGATTTCTTCCCGCACACATTTTTAGTTCTACCTTCTGCATAATCGCATTTTATTTAAATTAAACTCTTCGTAACATCAGGTTTAGTATGCTCGTAGAAAAAATATAGTTCCTAACTCTTGCGGGAAGAAATTTCCGGAAATTTCTCTTCCCGCACTCGTTAGGAAAATAGCTATTTTTTTACCTTGAATAGGCAAGCGAAAGTGTAGCATACTAGTCATCACTTTCGCTTTCGTTTGCCTATTCAAGATAAAAAAAAAATGCATTTTCGGGAGAAGAATGAAAAGTTTGATACATTACACGTTGCAAAAGTTCTTTTAGGTGCTCGGAGGTGTTCAAATATTTGAATTTTGAATTTGAATTTGCTTTGAATATACCTCGCACCTAAAAGTACGCTTTTGCAGCTTGGAATGTAAATAACTATTTTTTCTCCAAACGTCAGAAAAACGTCACTTTGTTAACCCCTGTCAAGATGTCAGAAATTCGATTTCTATGCTGCTAGGCAAATCCGGCGGGTTAACACCTGTCGAGGTGGTAGAAATTTAATTTCTATGCTGCTTGGCAACCCCAGCGGCAGCAAAAGTACTTTTAGTGCCGCTGGAGCGGCAGTAGAAGTACTTTTAGTGCCGCTCGTACTTTTACTGCCGCTCAACTATTCACTTGCCCCCGAGGTTACCCCATTCGTTCGGAGAAAAAATAGCGTGTTGCATACGAAGTAGAAGCACTTTTTTCTGCTTCAGCAGTATTGCAAGCCTCACTACGTTCGGCTCGCAAACCTACCGCTTCAGCACAAAAAAGTAAAGCTTCTACTCCTAATACAACAATATACTATTATGTACATGATGTATTTGGCTTACTGACTACTTTTAGCTCTTTTCGCATTTTTTTTCTTGCAAAATGTGACTGAAAAAAAGTTGTCAATCTCAAACATTTTGCAAAAACAGTTTAAAAAGTTAGCAAGCCAAACGCAGCTGTTGGCAGAAACAAAACAATCAATGTAATGCAAATAATGGTTTATTGAATTAAAAAAGTTCAAACACAATAAAGAAACATAATAAAATTATAAATAGAGAAAGGAAAACAATAAAAACTATTGGTAAAAAATATTGAGATTTAAGAGGTTCTATTTTTGACATAGGAGTCTTTTAGTAGTTTGTCTAAATTAATAAAGGTGGAGTTAAAGTTAAAGCACAGCTTCATATTTCCACAAAATAATAAAACAGAATACAAGGCACGATAATTTAAGGGATAACTAAACTTATAATACTTAATTACTATCTTACATTACATTACAAATATTAGTTTTTTTCTTTCCTGGGATTCAGTCGTGTATTAAAACAAAATATTGTCACAACTTCCTGCTTTACGGGGGTGATATGGGGGGTTTGTAGTTTTGGGAGTTGATGGAGAGAAACTCGCTCAGGTTATATAAAAATATAGATATATATTTTCCCGAATATGTCCTTACATGTACGCTAATCCTATAAGATGCATGACCCTTCGAACACTGGGGTCTTTATAGGGAGCCACACGTCAGCGCTGCTTGGGGGACTGTAGATTAGTTTATCGTCACCCCTATGCCTTGTCCAGAGGGTTTTTCCCAACGAGAGGTAATTGCACTGGACAACGCTAAGGCTGAAGATACCCAGAGGGGCTTTCCCAACGAGAAGTACTTGCACTGGGGAGACTTAATTCCAGAGGGGCTTTTCCAACGAGAAGTACTTGCACTGGTTTAAGTCTGCCTTTGCTGCGGCTTGCAGCGCAATTTATATCAATTTATTGCTGAATTGCAATAAACATTCGACCGAATCGGCAATTAAATTAATAAGGTTAAATACCGGGTCCTTTTTTCCTAAGCAGCTAGTTGACAAGATCCCAGGAAGTCACAGGAAAGAGAAATGGTATAGTATGATATATAAGTGTATAAGAGGGCCTTAAAAGCATGCGCGACATATTTCAAAACACGACGCGCAGCGGAGTATTTTTTGTGACACCCAGTACATAATATTTAATATTTTTTTGTAATGCATTTTTTCTGTTGTTTTTTGAAAGCACTTAATTTTATGGGGTCTATCAAATTTCTATTAGGGTTAGTTCTCATATATCGAACAAATTTTTCATCTTTCCCTCTTATCACAAGATTTATCCTTCTACAGCAAAAAAACAAGCAACATCTTATAATTATTTTTAATAGTTATTTGTATACCAAGGCCGCGAAGTGCCTTTTAGCGTACGTAGAGAAAAGTTATCGCCGAGGCCGCTTGCGGCCGAGGCAAGATAATCTCGAGGACGCTAAAAAGTTTCGCGGTCATGGTATACACACTATTTTTTGTGCAACCCTGAAAATTATGTGGAATTACAGAAAAAATGTACTCCTTTCAATAAACATGTGGAACTAATTACCAGTTTGATGTATAACCTGGTGGCTATGGTGGCACAGCGTTTCTATGGATGTCATGGATGACATAATTTGCAAGTAAACAAATACACAAAAAATTTTGACGGTTCTCAAAAAATCGTGAAAATATCCGACAGCGATACAGATGTTTCACTCTCTTGCACTCCTCCAGAGCTAAAAAATATGGTTCAATCAGCTATTGCTGAGTTAATACCTGGAAAACTCAGCGGCAATATGAAAATTGTTACTGCGAGTTCAAAAAATTGGTGTGACAAACAAAACGTCATAATGGTGTCTGAAAACATATTGGCTAATTTAATGCAGAAATGGGA